CATTCATTCATTCATTCATTCATTCATTCATTCATTCATTCATTCATTCACTGGAAATGAAATGCAATGTCCCTTGCTATTAAAGGGTTCTTTGATAATAACCTCTAATTTCAAAATTGTTAAGATTTTTCAAGGAGTTTATAATCTAAATTCTATCAATTCCTGTCTTTTCTTCTGTGCAAAATATTATAGAAAAGAGAAAGGAAAAAGTTTGGATTGTACAATTTGATTCTTTCAAATAATAAAGTTATTCTTGGTTGGAAAAATAAACTACCAGAATTCAGAAAGTGACGACTACTTTTTAAATAGGAAACTGAAAATATAATTGCAATGCGACACAATCCTTTTGTCTTGCTGAGTGTTTGCTAGCTGTCATGAACAAAGATCCTGATGTTAGTTATCTGATGTTGCAAAACCATTTACTGGGAGTCACTCAGAGTTGGATGAAAGATGAGCAGATAGATAGATACTAAATTTTCATAATCTAGATCATTTATAAGTAGTTCTATTCTGAGTACAATATAGGGCAATTCAATCATTTTTACAAATCAATAATCTGATGTGGCCCAACTTCCTATCTTTTTGTAAGGGCGTAAAGATGTGGCTGTGCCAAACTGGCATGTGGGCCCTGTGTGGGAACAGCCAGGGGTGGGCTGCTACCGTTCGCCCTGGTTTGGGCAAACCAGTAGTTAATTTTATGGCTGGTTCAGTGAACGGGCAAATCCCAACCCTGCTGGCCCAGCCCATTCCACATCGCCCCTCCCAGGAGTCCCCATACACCCATTTTGGATGCCAGGTAAGTTCAGGTCCAGCGCAGAGGCTAGGTGAGGGTGAAAAATGGGTCTCCTGGAGGCTCTGGAAGGCCGGAGCCTCTGGACCCTGTGGAGGCAGTTTTCACCCTCCCGGAGGCTCGAAGAAAGCCTTCGGAGCCCGGGGAGGGTGACAAACAGCCCCCTGTGGCGCAGGAGGCCAACTAGACAATGGCCACTCCCACCCAGCAACTGGGCACAGAACCGGTTGATAAAATGTTTGAAACCCACCTCTGGGAACAGCACAATGGAGGTGGTTGATTTAGTGATAACAAATCCTACCTCCCCTTTGCCCCTGCCCTCCCCATGTCTCCTCGATTTTAATGACTGATTTTAACTTTTAACGTTTTAACTATATATGTAACTGTAAGCTTCCCAGAGTTACCCTATGGTAACATGGGTGACCAATAAATTTTATAAATAAATAAAAATAAAAAAATAAAAAAATTCTAAGTTGGCGTTATGAGGAAGAAGGAAAGCTAAGTATTTACATCAAGGGTGGTGGCTTTTAGATCAAGAATGTACAATTTACATTGATTCGCTAGCTTCATCAGGCTTGGTGTAGCATACCAAAAGCTGAACTCTACAATGGATGGGGCCAGGGTCAATTTTAGGAAAGAGATTTAGGAATTTTAATCAGTAAAATCCAGCTCAATATTTTTGGCAACTGTTTGGGAAGAGGAACATTTGAGTACCCCCCCTCAAAAAAAAAGGCTTTTCCGGCTGTTCTAGATGAGGTGCAAGTCACAGCATCTCTCACCTTAGATCAGCGGTCGCCAATCGGTGGGCCACGGCCCACTGATGGGCCTGAAGAAAATTTTGGTGGGCCGCAGAGAAATGTCACCCCAAGAGCACCCCCAAAGCAATTAATACAGACCGCGCAGGAACACAAGGCTGTGCTGCCCACATGGCCCGCGGCAACCCTCCCTGCCTACTCACTCCTTACCTGGCAAACTTGCCTGCTAAATTGCTATTTTTCTTTTTTTTTTCCCTGACCATCAGCTATTCTGCTGTGCCCGGAGATTTAGATTAGCTAGGAAGCAGGAAATGGTTGGATTTCTTGCTTTCTAGCTAGTCTTTAGATCTTCGGCTCTGCTTTTAAGCACAACCGAATCTCCCTTAGGACTGAAGTTCTATTATTCAGTGCAGACTCATGGCAAGCAAATTTTATGTGACAGACTGAGCTAGCCAGTGGCAGATAGATAGATCTCTGAATGAATTTGTGATTCTGTGAGCAACTCAATCTGCCTGCCTGCTCTGCCTGATTTTGGGTAAAA